ATTGCACATAGGATGCACGCGTAAGTTGAAAGGTACACTGATCTGAAGTATATCTTCGGCTAGTTTTAACGTTGTTCCATCTAAACCAGTAATTACATTTGAACACGTATTGACGGCATCACCCCAACGCTGTTGAAACGGACTTGGCAAACAGTGCTATGCTATACATATATATATAGCGCATGTTTATATTTATATTATATATAAATATATTTCCGAACTCTCGTGTTCTCGAGTCTCGACTGCTCGTGCTCGACTGGAGCTTTTGAGACACAATGAGAGTGTGACTGTGTGAGGGAGGGATGGTTCGTCGCCACAATTAGTCCATTTCTTTCTATTTTTAGAAAAGCTGATGTTACTGATGAACAATATCCAATTACTACGCCTTGAATATTTAGCGTGGTCATGGCATTGGTCCAGCAATGATTTGCTGATAAATTCTATTATGCTTTTTTAATTGGTAGGTTTATATAACTATAAAAAACTTTCCCTATTTTTGAATGAAGTATTGTTTCAAATTCTGTATTTAGGTTGTTAATTTTGTTGCTCAGGGCAATTCGTCTCTAGGGTTTACTACTTTTGCGACATTCAGCGTTTGTTCAAAACAAATTTCGGTGAAGTAAATTATAGCAAATCAATGCACCAGAACCGAGCGATTAAATATGATAATTTTAGTGACATGACGACTGACGTTTCTTGTGTGATAGAGGTAAATATGGGGCAATGTATTTACATTTATGAGATACGAGAACACACTCTCGGAGTACTGCGAAGCTCACATTCGATCTCTGTGAAACGACAACGAATGCTCGGATGCGCTCTCAGATCGAACAAACAGCCTGCATATATCTGAAAGTGTATTAGAAGTGTAGCTACACACAGTCAATAAAATAGTTAGTTGTGCAGCTCGCCGACAATAAACAAGGTAGGGGGAATAGAGTTGTATTTAGAAAACCCTGTCCAGCATAAATAACACCGACTTGAGTGCACTCCTAAATACGTAGTAAGAATTAGAGGAGAACCACGTACATGCACAAAGCGGCCAGTGAGAACTAGTTTTCCAAGGGCTCTTCAGTCTACACGTGCCAATTTCACCCACCACATGTGAGTTTATTCACGTGACATGTGCATATAACTGAACAATAGTGATTACGAAAAGGATGATGGTAAAATTCGATCAGCTTCTGGGTAAGCGGTCTTCCTTGATGCGATATATTCCACGTGGCGGTGTAAGTTATCTGTTGGTTTCACTATGTATATTGGTGGCGTGTGCGTCGTATTTAAGACACTCGAACGATGACACACAGGATATACAAATCACCAGGTCCACGCTACTAGACTCAGGTACGGATCAACAACAGCTGACAGATAATAACGATGATAGGTATACTACCGGGGAAGTATTGCTGGATGGCAAGAATGCCGAGTATCAAGTGACATCGCAAAGCACACAAATTCAGGGGAATGCTGGTGTGATAGACTCAAATATGGTGGAGTATAATCCCAAAGAGGACCGGACACAAGCTATTCAACGTGGTAAACAAGTCATGGCAGAATCGCGTATGATTATCATTGGGCTTGTTAAGAACATGGGTGATCTATTAGCTCAAGGCAACATCACGCGACGCATAGAGCAAGTAGGGGAGATGTTCAAGGATTATAAGGTGCTGGTGATTGAGAATGACTCCACAGACGACACAGTAACTCACTTGAGAAATTGGAGTAAGGTCAATGAGCGCGTGCAGATCATATCCTCAGAGTTCAAATTCGACAAGGATTTCGGCAAGAGCACGAACCACATCAGGTTCAAGCGCATGGCGCTTATACGTAATATATACATGCTCGAGTTAGCTATCAACCCGCTGTATGCGGATGCCGACTATGTGTCGCTGTTAGATATGGATAACAGAGAAGGGTGGAGTTTAGATGGGTTGGCCACATCATTTGCCTTACCCCAATCCTATCTACCTAAAGAAAAGGGTGCGGCATTCGCTGAGCAGCCTCTGGAATGGGATGTGGTGTGTGCCAACGGGCAGCTCAACTTCCCGGCCCTGGCTTGGGAGTATAGCCCTCCTGGGAAACCAAGTGTTAAGGAGCTCGTACAGAAGCATAAGGGACTGGATGCGATGATCAAGGCTACACGCGGAATGCGCGAGCCCCCGCACAGATACGCCGAGTTTGCTGGCTTGGTTGCGAATGGCACGTACGAGTATGCCCGACATGCGTACGAGTTGGTGGTGAAGCATACCAAGCACTACGTGTACACCAAGGTAACCAAGGAGACCAATGAGGACTACGGCGGGTGCCACGATGTAGATATGGGCGGGGAGTTACAAGGCGAGGGTGTTCCCGGATTGATCGCGTTCATAGGGGCGCAACTGAAGGCCAAACAAGACAAAGCTGTCCAGGTCATCGTGCAGAACCGGGTACGTAGTAAAGAAGACCAGGCAAAGGGTGGCCCTGATAACGAGTCGGGTGTGGATCCCGAGATTATGGAGAGTGCCAAAGCGGCTGCGATTGGGTTTACGTTTAAAACATGCGACGAAAACGACACCATGGCGGTTCAAGATAAGGATGGTGTGTTTGATGCGGGTGCTACGATGGCCAAGAAGCTTATGCAACATATACACGCTCCCAGGGATATCCTCGAAGGGTCCACCCCAGAACGCACCAATGAGTGCTTCGAAGCAGCTATAGCGCACTGGTACAGACAGGGTGTGCAGGCGCGTGAGAAAGCCGCGTTGAACTTCGCGAGTAAGTACCATATAGTACCCGGCAGACACTACGATAGCTTAGCGTTCAGGGATTCCGTGTTTCAGAACTCGAATTTCCGCGCGCATCAGTATGTCACCCATTTGGTCACGGACTGGCCGTACTACGTGGACAGCTGCTTCGGGGGTTTAGCGGTGTACCGGTTCGCCAGTATGAAGGGGTGCCAGTATGACACGGAGACCAGGGAGTGTGAGCACTCGTCAATGCACCAGTGTATGGCTGAGAAGGGTAGAGGCAAGGTCTTGTTCAATCCGGCCATGGTGGTGAAGTACGTGATGGGAACAGGAACACCGAAAAAGACGTGATAACTGGAACCGATGAAGCACAAGGCAGTAGCGCTAGGACGGTGGAGTGTACGTGTAGATGGATGTGTAGATCAGAAGGGGCCGTTGCTATATGGATAATGACTTTAAGAAGGTTAAAAGTATATAGTTATGTGGGTTTGCAAGGTCGCAGGTACTGTGCACTCTAACTTGATTGCGAGTATCACTCTACTAGTATACAGCCGAGTCTGGGCTGGTTACCGTGGTTCGCAATCCGATACTAAGCACATAACTTTTTACGAAAATAGTTGTGGTATTGAGGTCAAGGTGGTGATGGTTGTGGTGATTAGGTGCAGATGCATCCAAACCAACCAGACAGTATGGTACTATATCCCTCTTGAAGGAAGGTGACGGTGGACGGTATATATGGCGTGGTATATATAGATAGCTCTACTCGTTCGTACTGCCAGGTGCGTAGCGGTGGAACGGTGCACCATGCTTTAAATGATATACATTACATATGGGGTTGCTTTACACGACAGCGCAGAGACTCATCTCTTAGTCTGTCGGCAACGCAGAAGCTGCAATATAGCTGTAGTTACACTTGTCGGCGACGCAGGAGCTGAAACATTAGAAGCTGCAATAGTAGTACGCTGGACGTATACTAAAATACTCTATAGCTAGAGGTGGGTCAGCTATTGTCAACGCCCATATAACATATATGCCTGACTATAGGTGCTCGTGTGCGTACGATATGTACACATGCACGAGGCGTTTTGTGTGGCCAGAAGCGGCTCATATCATCACAGAGAACTCTTGTCTAGTTCACAATAGATCTTACGGCTGTAGTGCCCCTCACCACCTGTAGTGGGGCTTGTGCAGCCGCAGGAGCTTCCCACCCCTCTATGTGGGAAGTTGAAGGAAATAAAGAGAGCTATGTAACCCTATTTCACGATGTCTAAAAAACTATGGATTTATTTTAGGGTGCTAGATATATATATTCGCTACTGGGCAAGGCGGCAGATTGAAAATATTATTAACTCACTCTGCCACAGCTGGGGCCGGTTGGCGTGCATGTCACGTACTATGTCCCATACTTCGATATCACCTGTATCCATGGCTTGCAATTGCGAGCTCATTATACTATGTTTGGGGTCTGGGCTGCTTTCTCTGGCAAAAGTACTCATACCAAGCGTGCCATGCCCAACTCAATAAGACTCAATAGAGATCCCTTTGCGCCGCACGAGCAACTTTTCCGGATGACAACAGTGCCGTATAGCGCCTAGTTCTGTTCGAGGGCCGAGCGAATTGCCCGCGAATAGATTAGATAGACGTCATTCGCGTCTATATTTTAGGCGTCTTTATTGCAAGCTAAACGCGCACGTAGTTACATAGAGGATACAATACCGCTATATCTGGGTACGTTTAAGTCATAGTGATATATCTGTATGGCAAATACTGCCGGGCATATGTAAGGGATTGCTTCGGTTGAAATGACTTGTATAACTTTTTAACTTTTTGAATATTGGAAGGAACAAGCCTATCTGCACAAGAGGCGAGAACCAGACTTGGAGAGCAAACAGGAACATATACTCATGCTCACAGCATGAACGGGTTCGAGTTTCAAACAACGGGTTCGAGGTCCGAACATATACAGATACTACAAAGATACAAATCAACTTGAACTAATGAGAAAATCAGACATTCAAGAAACACAGCGATGCACTGTTTTTACTCGATGATTGTGGAATAGTGAAAGGGCGTATGGATGTCCTTTGGGATTTTAGTCATATCCTTGACGACTGATAGTTTAAGCTGTTTCTTCTATCTGGGCGGAAAATAAGGGCGATGCGCAGCCGCCCAATATATAGAAATACCTCAACGAGGTGATTAGGGTGTGTTGTATGACATACCTATGATACATATGTATGTTGATTAGACAAATATATGTTAAATAATATAATATATAGACATAGCCTTCTTCTTTGGTTCATGTAGCAGGTTCTTTGATATAGAGATCAAGAAAGTGATATATTTATTGATATTATAGATAAGTACCCTTCTGAAAATTGATGATATGAATTTTGTGTTATAAATTGAAAAAATAGCTTTGTTCCTAAACAGGTTAATAGATTTTGGCGCGCGGAAGTCGTGTCATTTTATGAATACTTTTTTTTTACTCTTCATTATTTATTACATAGAACAAACTCAACTCTCTAGAGACGATGTCCATCTGAGCCGAGACATGCACGAAATACACATCATATATATGCACTTATGAAGTTATGAGCTGAGAAATACACGAAATACGCATCATTTGTAAGCACTTGGCTGTTGAGAAGGTCGCTATAGTTAACCAGTAGACCACGCACAGAATCAATCGTTTACGTACAGAAAGACAAGTGCGAGATATGAAAACAATTTTGTCTACAAATAGAATCTAATACGAAAGCAATTCTGTGATATAGCCACACGTACGAAAGCAACCTTGTGCACATAGAGATAAGTCCTTTGTTTTCTTGAAGCATATAACTCTTGTGTAAGAGTTCAATTTAAGATGTCTTGGAATCTGGGAGAAGATGACTGGAATGGCGGCAGCGACGAAGATTCGGACGAGGGGGACAATTACTCAGAGGTATGTGAATTATGTGGTAAGTGGTATTTTGTACGATACATGCAGATAGTATAAGATCTGATCAGTAGATACATACATTAATATATATATATATATATATATGTATATGCACGAAGATGTGCCGGGTGTATTGTGAGTATGATACAAGTAGACATCAGAGATCCGACAAGTGGATTTTGTGGGCGTCTTGTGATATATCGGAATGTGTCGCAGTGTGTGTGTATACACATATACTATGAAGCATGTAGACAATCTGACATGTGGATACATTTTGAGACACTATGAGCATTATCAAAGCTGACAAGTAGATACATTTAGAGGCACTGTGTGTGCCGGTGTAGCAATACATATGATCACTGATACGTAGATATATTGATTCCTACTATATGTGTACATGTATCGATATATATATATTTATGAACAATTATACAGATTAGGAAGTCCGCATAAAAACCGGTATAATCTGGATTATGACTGACAATACGAGCAAACACAACACAGTCTCAACCATCCACGATCGATTGTACCACAACACATAATAGTATACTGAGACTTGGTAGTACAGATCTTGTCCCCATCTGAACTACTAGTACATCTACTGTCATCACACCTGAGATCGGATGTCAATAGACAGGCTCATGTCACCATAGAGGTGCACATGTCATAACACTCACAATGGACTGATGCAAGTGTACAAGCTTGCAGCATATAAAACTTGTCTGTACTGGCATTCATCAGATTCTAGAATTTTGTGTATGTACTCGTGGACGGCGACTTTTGTCATGGAGAAGCCTTTGCATCATTACACATATACGTTTTACGCTTTCGGGGTTTAATAGCCGGCTCAAATTTGTTGGGGTCGACCCTCATTGTGCACTTCTCTATGTAAGGTAAACATGTCTGTTTGTTTATTCTGCCGGTCATGTGCTTAATGATTGAACCTTTTAGTGCGCCTCTCGAATATCAGCACACGTGAATGTCTTATAGGCCAAGGTCATACTTAGTTAATTTAATCTTTGATTTCGTTCGCCCAGAGAATTGCTTCATTTACCGCTCTAAATCAACCTGTGTGTGTGTGCATGCGCGTGTTTTGGACGTGTATATTCTAATAGTATCTGTTCTACTAGTATCTAAGCTACTAGTATCTAATCTACTAGTATCTAATCTACTAATATCTAATCTACTAGTATCTAATCTACTAGTATCTAATCTACTAGTATCTAATTCTCGTACTCACACGTGACGCTCTATCACTCTGTCACACCGTACCATCCCTATGCAGTCTAAATTCCGCAACCTCAAGTCACACACCATCTACGCAGTGGATGCGAGCAGCAACATGTTCAAGAAGCTCGCTCGTACAGTACACGCACCTGCCGATCGCCCTGGTCATGCACGGGAGGAACAGACAGAGGTGAGGTTGTGGAACTGAATATGGATATGTGTGTATATGAACGTATGTATATGTGTGTATATGAACGTATGTATTTGTGTATATATGTATGTATATGAACGTGTGTATATGTGTGTATATGAACGTATGCATATGTGTGTATATGAACGTATTTATATGTGTGTATATGAATATGTATATGTGTGTATATGAACGTATGTATATGTGTGTATATGAACGTATGTATAGTTATAAATGTGTACACCCACAGATGTATATAATACACATCGGAATGGAAGCTCGTATGGCATGTATATGCATATATGCGCACAAACTGGGGCGTGTATTGATCTCATTCGCACAGAACACGCACCCGCCGACTGTTCTAATTATACACGTGAGGAACAGACAGAGGTAGGCTGTGTATGCGTGTATATGTAGGTGCGTTTTCATTTATTTGTGTACACGTACACACTCATGAAGCGACTGCTCGGGCATTATTGCGTGTGCGACGGGAATGTAAATTTGAAGCGCGGTCGGCAGAATCGCATCTGATGAACCAATCATTTATCTACGCCTGTTTTATCAGGATTCGTTCCCTGCTATTCATAATTATATGTCATAAACATGAGGCATTCTTAGGCTTGCTTCTCATGATTTTATCAGGATTCGTTCCCGGCTATTCGTAATCATATGGTATAAACATGTGGTATTCTTAGGCTTGCTTCTCATGAGCCGTGTGCCCGGTTTACACGGTTCGGACAATTAGTGGTTTATATGGTACTCTCATGTTTATAATACGGGTTTGCCGATTAGTAGTGTACGTGATGGTACCATTGCGTCTTGGGTCGCCACACAGGCATTGCGCAGCCTACTGCGCACAAGCTTGCATATTGTCAATATAGTTGTGTGCATGTTATCTGCTAGCCAGGCATAGCTTCCCCCCCCACCCCACACACACACACCTTACGCCTGTTACACATGATCATGATTCGTCTTCATTCTACATGAAATTGGAGGGCCTTCGTGGTGCTTTATCGGATTACACTATATTAGCTCCGGGTAACCTCATAGGCAGTATCTATATAGCGTGTGTGCAAATGTGCGACCTTTTCTATACACATAGGCAAGTTACCTGCTAACCCAACATCCCTCCACGCGTGTATCACAGGATTCGTCTCCGTTCTACATGGTGATGGAGGGTTTGCGCAGCGGGTTATCAGAGAGCATCATACTATCGCCAAACGATCTCACAGGCATTATCCTGTACAACGTGCGAAAAAACTCTAACAGTATGAGTTTTGACCACATCTACGTAACTATGAATCTGAGCACACCTGGCGCGTCTGACTTGGCAAGCGTAGAGGCGCTCAGAGACCTGGCATTGCGAGACGAAGGTCCCAAGTTCCAGCAGCAGTAAGTTCTACCTATATATATATATATA